ATGTGATAAGTGATTATAAGCCACGCAGAGCAATCACAAGATACAACACACAATTGATTAAATACTTTGCAAACTACAGAAAACAAGGCACCAATTTTAATTACACTTACATCTTATGATCCAGAGGAAGAGAAACTGGCCTATATGAACTGCAACAGTCACTGACAAAGTCCCTGTCAAAGTCTGACACAGTACCAAACATAATAGTCTCTGATGCTCCTGTAATAGCAAATAGCTGAAAAATCACACATTGCAGCATAGGTTATTGTATCAATAAAAACAAAAACAAAAAATGACAGAACCAAGCACAGCACTAGATTAACTATACTGTGCTATTGTTGTAAAAATTAACTTTACCCCTTTATTCCCCACAGCCAAACTCCTTCTGTCAGTAATCATCATCTTCTTGTCATGATCAGTCCCATGAAAGTGCGTTCATGTTTTACCGTATCCGGCACTTCATATTTAGTGATTACCGTATCAACATTGACGCATGCGGGCAAAATATATGAAACACAACACGATTCATTTATTCGATTTGATGTCGAGTTGTTAAAGAATCAATAGTTTCAAACACGGTGCACTTTCAGATTTAAACCTCAGTTGGATGTTTTCCTTCATTTAGTACTGTCTTATAAAGATCATTTTTAAAAACCCTAAAAGGGGCTCTTAAAGTTTGATTTGTAGCCAAATACTACAATCTTATTTGTGACCAAAAAAATAGTTATAAAATGAACAGTTGGGATATTAGGCTCATGTTATTCAAATATTTTATTAAGGTAGTATCCATATTTATTGTTCTGGTATTCATAAAACCACCAGTTCTCGTTTTTTTTCCTGGGAATCAAACCCACAACATCAGCAACCTCAACATCCATGCCTTATCAAGATGTTAAAATCAAGATAGCAAAATATGACAGAGGGTTAAAAATAACTTGTTTTTGATGTGCAGACCAACAACTGACTGCTGGTAGTGCAAAACTAATGTGCTCGGAGCAGGTACAAAGCGTGCTGTCGTCACGCCAGCCCTGGGGTTGATTGACTCTTTTGATTGGTCGTCCTTGAGGTGGGACACAGGCTAGCAGTGCCTGTCTGGGTCCCGGTAAATCAGCTCTGTCTTTCACGCTCTAAAAAGTCTACCTTTGAAGGGCCGCGCGGGGGCCAGTGGCTCTGCCTGGCACTCTCTCAAAAATCACAGGCGCTGAGAGGAAGCGCAGCCACAAGCCAATTACCTGCCCCTGGGTGAACAGAGGGGGAAAAATGAAGGAAAATGAAAAGACAGGTGGGGAATGAGAGTGCTGTCAGAGTGGGCCATCCTCATTAGCGGGTACACTGCTGCCCTGCTGATGATGCTGATGGGACACTGGGGCACAGGGCAAGACCGCATGACATGGCAATCTCGCCTATGTACACACTACACAGCAGCTTTCTAGATGAAAAGCTTGGAGAAAAGTGTCAACACTCCCAAAGTGACAAGATCAGTGGTGACTGGATTGAAGTTGTGGTAAAAAAAAAAAAAAAAAAGTAATGTTTAAGGTTTCTGTCAGTAGGCAGACAGTAGGTGATTTTCTTGTGGCTCTATGGGCTGTAATAGTAAGTTTATTGTGTAAATTCTCATTAAATGATTTAGGTCCATACCCAATTCTATTTTTGTACTCCTACCCCTATCCGTTCTCCTTAGCCCTTAAAAGTGAAAGAGCTTCAGTTTACCCCTAAGAAATGGGATGGCACTACAGCACCTGCACACGTCATCATATGTCATCGCAATCTTTCCATATGAGATTGACGATGGCGACTGTGTAGTTATTCCAGTTGTTTTAGTTTATTTTTTTGGTATTTATCTTCAGGAAAACACTGAAGGCAACGATATCATATTATCATAACAATATAATGCAGCAATATGATCGTAACTGTACTGTGCATTTACATCATGGCCATATTCATCTATGTAAACACAAAAAAAAAAAACATTAACATTATATCAGACACTGTAAAAAGCTCATTCCCAGCCACTATACATTTCTGACAGGGGTTTTGAGTATCCTTATGGGTCAGATGTGAAAGTATGTTGTGGTACCGCTATACAGGAGTTCTTATTTTTATGGATCATAGACAGCAAAATATATAAATATATATTTTTTAAGCATGACGGTAAAACACAAACGCCGTTATGAATAAATTATGAATTAAATGCTTGTTTGTTGTAAAAATTCATAATAAGGACAAAAATAGTGCCATTGTAGATGGTATAGGGGCAATGCAATGGCGCAGTAAGTAGTGCTGTTGCCTCACAGCAAGAAAGTCGCTGGTTCGAGCCTCGGCTGGGTTTGTTTCTGTGTGGAGTTGTCATGTTCTCCATGTTCACGTGGGTTTCCTCCGGGTGCTCCGTTCAAAGACATGCGGTACAGGTGAATTGGGTAAGCTAAATTGTCCGTAGTGTATGTGTGTGAATAAGTGTGTATGGATGTTTCCCAAAGATGGATTGCAGCTGGAAGGGCATCCGCTGCGTAAAACATATGCTGGAAAAGTTGGCGGTTCATTCCGCTGACCCCAGATTAATAAAGGGACTAAGCCAAAAAGGAAATAAATGAATGAATAAATGGTGTATTGTGGGAGTTTTTCATAGGGGTAAGAGGAATGGCTAAGGGGCCTTGATTACATGAACAAGATACTTTCATATCTTTGAATTTATGCTTCTCATATTACTAACACATACACTTGTACACAAACATCACCTATATATTAAATTACTGCAGGTTGATATATAGCAACTTTACCTGTAAAAATATATTAGTTATTAGTTCATTAGATAAAGTTATTAGTAACTAATAAAGTTATTGTAACTAATAACCTTAACTTCTCCAAATTTGATTGTCAATAACGTGCACCTTTTGTAAAGCTGCTTTAAAACAATAATTATTGTGAAAAGTGTTATACAAGTAAACTTGAATTTAACTGAACTAAAAAGAAAATCCAATATCATTGTTTAAAATAAAACTAAGCTTTATATTTAAACAATGCAAGAAGGATTACTGTCAGTCTGCTGTCACCTTTAACCATACACGTGTTGTCTTTCTTTTTTTTTTTATTTGAAATTATTATTAACAGATATGACTGATCATTTTTATGTTCATTATAGCACATTTATTTATTATAGTTTTTTTATAATGGACACTTTTGTATACTTAAAGTATGTTTAATATGTGACCTTGCACATCAAAACGAGTAATTCTTTTATATCACATTTTACTTGTTTTTATGTTATGTTTGTTTTTACGCATTTTTATTATTTGTTTTTATTTTTATTTTACTTGTTTCTTTTATTCTTGTTTATGTAAAGCACTTTGAATTGCCATTGTGTATGAAATGTGCTATATAAATAAACTTGCCTTGCCTTGCCTTGCCTTGCCTAATAAGTTTCACTTTTTGGGAATTAAGATTTATACAATCACCTCAAAGCTGACTAAATACACTTTAATACCTCAGTGAGGTGACTATTTTCAGGTTGGAAAATATTTGGACAACTATTTGAAAATATGATATCTGAAGATAAGGTGGCATGATGGCTCAGTGGTTAGCACTGTTTGCCTATTCTCCTCTAGTTCACGTGGGTTTCTCTGGGTGCTCCGGTTTCCCCCACATTCCAACGACATGCGGTAAAGGTAAATTGAACAAGCTAAATTGTCCGTAGTGTATGAGTGTGAATGAGTGTATATGTGTGTTTCCCAAAAATGGCTGAAAGGGCGTCCGCAACGTAAAACATATGCTTAAATAGTTGGCGGTTCATTCTGCTGTGGTGACTTCTGAAATAGAGACTACGTCAAAGCAAAATGAATGAATGAAATCTGAAAAAAAATTATAATAAAATTGTTGTGTTGGGTTTAATGCTTACCAATGCACGTTGAAAATCAAAAATTGACTTTGACATACAGTAGGAAATTTATAAAATTTCTACATGATCTTTATTAATAATCTAATAAATTTTGCATTTATAGAAAAATCTATTAATGTATTTTGATCCATACAATGTTTTAGAGTATGGCTATTGAGCACATCCTAAACATACTAAATAAACCAGTGCAACATTGGTTTTGTGGTCCGGGTTCACACATATTTTTATTATTTTGATGGGATACATAGCAATATTGCTCATGTACACTCTACACAGCTGCCTTCTAGATGAAAAGCTTAGATAAAAGTGTCAGCAATGAAAAGTGGCTAGATCAGTGGTGACCGCCAAAACCTTTATACTAGTACAGAGTAATCTTGTGTGGTTCTGTCAGTTAGAAAACAGAGTGAAAGTGTGAAAGCAGCAGCAGAAAATTGTAGATTGCAGCATGAAAACTTAAAAAAACTGTGCTAGTTTCAAAAAATCTTTTTGGTGCCTTTGTTATTGGAAAAAAGATACTTCTGTGGAAAAAATCCTCAAAACTAAAAGGGTCCTGGCCACTTTTTTTGTATCACTTTTTTATAAATATTTTTCTTTTATTTGGGCTTTTTGTGCTCTGCTGAGATGTTTTCTTCTCATATTTCTGTATTACTGTCATTTAAAAACTTTATATATGGCAGCCTACAAACTTTTCTGTTGTCAATGTAGAACAATTACAATCTGAATGTGTGATAAATTGTTTCCTGCAACTGTGATTGCTCTGAAACATTGTTATCGGATTAAAAAGACGACATAAACGCACACTGCCATGCTGCTCTAAATGATAGATAGATAGATAGATAGATAGATAGATAGATAGATAGATAGATAGATAGATAGATAGATAGATAGATAGATAGATAGATAGATAGATAGATAGATAGATAGATAGATAGATAGATAGATAGATAGATAGATAGATAGATAGATAGATAGATAGATAGATAGATAGATAGATAGATAGATAGATAGATAGATCAATCTACTGATCTTGAATATAAATGGGAATGAAGAAATGAGAGGAAGAGGAAAATGAGGATCTGCTATTATAGTGAAAATCAGCAGCTCATACCTTGTTGCCGATGGCTTTTTTAGGTGGGAAATTGAACGTGTCGACTTGTGGAAATTGCGGCCGCAGGTAATTGTGCAGTGTTCGGAACTCAGCATAGCGCCGGTACACATTCCACTCATTATCAAGGATTCGAATGTACACCTGAGAAACAAAACACAAATAAAGCACATATTGATGAGCATCTGACATGTCATTTTTCTCTTGTTAGCCTCATTATTATTTGCATCTGTGCTAAACTAGGTCTCCTATGGTGCCGCAGCCAGACAGACACAAGGGACTGTGCATAAGTGCATTTGAGAGACAGCAACACAAGGAGGGAGAAGAGAAGAATGCTATTTTAACGCCTCACTTTCTCTTTCAGAACAGGACAGAGGAGTCTGACTCGAATTACCCAAGCAAGACCTCTGATCACAGGCCAGCGACTCGCTAAAGTCTCTAGAACAGACAGCAGTTAGTCCAGTGGGGCTGCAGAGCAGAAAGTGTGTGAGTCTGAATCTCCAGAGAGTGTCAACTCTGACAACACGTTTACACCTGTGAGGACCCGCTGACACTGTCAAACTCAGGCTGGTCTGAGACCACCGGTGTCACAGTGACAGTGAAATCACCACCTAAAAAATTATGCAGGCAAATCAGATGGCTTTTTTGCTTAATTGGTTGCTGTGGCTCTTATTTTGTCCAGTTTATACATCATTTTACAGATTTCATCTAACATAACCAGTTCCATTCAAAAGTATTGATAAAAAATATACGTTAACAGTTTCTGTATATTCCAAACTGTTTGATGCAATTATAAATTGTCCATGTCTCGAGGTAGTTCATTATGATGCCATTTACCTCTTTTCTTCTACGTGTCTGTTACTTACATTTACTTCTTTGGACAGGTAACACAGGACTGATTTTTCTAATCCCCAAAGACAAGTAGTAACAAAGTAGTGACTGCATGTTTAAGGAAATTAGTGGAGTAAAAGTACCGAAACTGCTCTAAAAATGTACTTAAGTGAAAGTAAAAGTACACATTAATTAAGCCACTTGGTGAATTACAAATCCTGAGAAAAACTACCTTTGTTACAGTAGATTGAGTGTCTGTAATTTGTTACTTTACACCATTGTATAGAACTTTAAACTTTTAAAAATGTTAATAAAAGTCACTTTTACAAAGTTTTGTTTGAAGAAAGATCAAGGTCCCATAATGCAGTTGAAAAGCATAAATAAACAGGGAATACTAAAACATTAAAACATGAAAAATGGAAACATCATTTATGACTTTATTTTTTACAGTGTTTGTTAAGCTTTTTATTTGTCTATTTTATATGTTACTGGAAATTATTTTCTCCGGGCTACATTTTTTTAAAAATTACATTGCATTAAAATATACACTTTAATTACATTTAAAAACTAGAAAGAAATAACAAATGAGATAATAAACATTAAAATACTAATTAACAATTCAAACTATAAAAGGTATTGAAAAAAGTTAAATAAATTTTATGTTTTTTTAATGATCTTGCTTATTAAGGCTGCATTTATTCAAATTATTAATGGATGCGTGAAGATGAATTTTAAGAAACCAACAAATCTAGAGTTATTTTAGTTAACCAAAATTAAAATATTACCAAAACAATAACAGCATAAAAAAATACTAAAACTAAAACATAATCATTTTACAACTAAATGCTTCAAACTCCAATCATTTTTATTATTTTCAGTGGTGAAATTATTTTTGGTTGTTTACTATTTTTGTGAACAAAAAATAAGGTCAAGAGTCTTGGTGTTATTCTGGAGTCAGATATGAGTTTCAGTAGTCATGTCAAAGCAGTAAGTAAATCAGCATATTATCATCTCAAAGACATTGCAACAATGTTTAGCATAGATGCTTAAAGACTTAGAAAAACTTGTTGATGCTTTTATCACCAGTAGGGTGGATTACTTTAAAAACTTCCTCACTGGCCTTCTCAAAAAGACAGTCAGACAGTTGCAGCTTATCCAGAACGCTGCTGTCAGGATTCTGACCAGAACCAGAAAATCAGAGCACATCACACCTGTCCTCATGTCTTTACATTGGCTCCCAGTTACATACATAATAGATTTTAAAGCATTATTATTTGAATCACCAAACGGCCTAGAACCTTAATACATTACAGATATGCTCACTGAATACAAACCTAACAGATCACTCAGATATTTAGGATCAAATAAACTAGAGAACTAAGACTTTAGTCAAAGCAGGGTGAATCTGCCTTTAGCGACACCCCCCACTGCTGGAATCAGCTTCCAGAAATGAAATGATTAGATGTGCTCCAGCATTAAGAATGTTCAAATCAAGACTTAAAACACATTTATTTAGATGTGCGTTTACTGAATGAGCCCTGTGCTCTTTCCAACAGATCACACTATTGTGCCTTTCTTTTTTCCATTCTTTTAAAACCTTTTTAAAACACTTTAATCTGATTTTATCTATTTTTAATGAAGAGGGATAATAATTTTTTTTTCCTATACTTGTCTCATTTATTCCTGTTTATGGTAAGTGCTTTGAATTACCATTCATTTTACATAAAAAAACATTCCAAATTTTCAAATCAACTCTATAACACTACAAAGCCTTATCATAAATTACATGACGCTATTAAATAAATTAAAAGCAAGATTTAACTGTCACATATCATGAGTCCATGTTAACCAAAAGTTGCTGCAGAGTTTTATTTCAGTACAACAACATATTTTCAACTAAAACTGAATATTGCGTAGGGGGCAGGGTTTTATTTTTTTGCTGCTACTCTCGTCCTTCCCTTATAGTAAACTGATGGTTTAAGGGCCTTGACAAGTCGTCAAGCTGTCATTGCAGAGAAAGACTGTCATTCCAGAGAGTAAACAATTGGTTAGATTTTGATTAAAGATAGCCAAATTAAACATTTCCGGTGCATTAACTTACATGAATTCATTGTTCAACTTAAAGTTAATAATGTCAACTAGAAAATAAACGTTGTAATTTTTGTTTTTACTTGTTCAAATTAGGTCATGTCAACCCCACGCACCATGATCTCTCAAGAACCATGAACCAGAACAATAACTCTTTCCCATAATGCACCTGGAGGACAGACATGGCGGAATGACTGTAAAAATCACATTAGCAGGTCTAAAAACGAGAGTGAGCTGAATAACAAATAAGGCTTAGTCACAAGCAGCAGGCCATTACAGTTTCACTCATAGCCATTATCTTTAATAGCCTGTGCTCGGTTTGAGTTCAGCCTGCTTTGGCGCGATCATGAATATAGGATGTTGATGCTTTATAAAGTTTAATTTAATTCTCTTAACGCATTAGCTTGATAGCAACTGCCTTATGCAAATCTTATTTATGATTAAACCTTGAAATTCTCCAAACATATTAATCAGAGGGATATTTCAAAGAAGCTGCTACAATACTCAAAGAATGATGAACATCCGCACTAAACCGCACACACTCTTATGCGCAAGGGAGGCTTTATGGCCTTAACTAAAGGAAATCAAAATGACAAACTGACGGTGTATTAAAGCTATCATAATCTCATAGAGGCGGCCTCATTAGCATACATATTTATGGAAACAAATCATCCTCTAAAGAGCAATCACTTCCCCCTCAATAATCGCAAATTAATTTCACAAAAAACGAAGTGGGAACGAAGGGAATCCAGCTTTCACTTTTTTTTTTTGGCAATTATAAATCAAACCTGATTTAAAACTAAAACTCCTGGCAAAACGTCAAGAAATTCAGGAATTAACCCAATCAAGCAAAACAACAAAAAAGAGCAAGCGTGGAGACAATTTTTATTGAATTTCACCTCAAGTTCTCTTTTGATTATTAATAGTCATTCATTCAAGTACAACCTTGATTTTAATTGTTTAAAAAACTGATTTCTAAGATGTTCTGAGAAGTTTAAACACTGCTAAAGTGTTGTGACTGATGTTAACATGTTGCTGTGTGGTTGCTGGGGTGTTTGAGTTGTTGAAAACCTGTTGTTAAGGGTTGTTAAGATGTTCTGAAAATGTTCTGATTTTACACTACTAGAGTAGCTATTATATTTGAATGTGACTTTACTTCACAACCTTTAGAGAGCTCTTTAGAGAGTAAGAAAATTAGTAGTATGAATGGAATTTGGAAGTACTGTGCTCGCCATGTTGTCATTATTACATGACCGACCATGACCAATCATACCATGACCATTCAGTTGAATTGCTTAACTCCCATTTATACAGCAAATTCTCTTCCTTGGTTTGCTGAGATAGTCAAATGTCCATTAAGTCCACTTAGTAGGTCATATAGGAATTTTTCGCACACTGTTTTTCCAATTTTATAAGCTGCGTCCCAAATGGCACACTATACACTATGCACATATGCACTATGTACTTATGCACTTACACACTCAACAACAGGATAGTACATGTATGTGGTGTCGTCCCAAATGGCACACTAATGTTTTTTTTTACTAAGCAGAAATACAAACCTTTTCCCTAATGACGTTAGACGGTTGCCAAATCAGTGAAATAAACAACCGAATTATCAAATAATACCTGCCATGAGTATAACCGTATACACCATCGGGAGGCGCTATAATCACTCTCATAGGAGAATTTTGCTTTCACCATCCAAAATAAATAAAGTTATCCAACATGTGCGCCCAATAGCTCCGCCCCTTCCGCTACATAAGCAAAACTGCGGTCATTGAGTGCGTGAAGTGTCCATCATTCCACACTTCATTTTACCGGCTGAATGAGTGCATCATCCGGGTAATTAAAGTGCTCTTATTATTTTTAGAGTTTTCAGTGTGAACACTCTACTTACACTATTTATACTACAAAATGGCGCAGAATAGTGCATAAGAATGCGATTTGGGGCGCAGCTTTAAATTTGGGCAAACTACTTGGCTTACATACTGTTTTTCACATGCTATAGGGAAGTCTACAATTTTGTATGGAAAATTAAATATTATTAAACTGCTCTGTTGCTAGGTTGTTCTGCGTGACTGCTATGAATTTCTAGGCTGTTTTAACACACTTTGTTGTTCCATACAATGATGTTTGCACGTAGCTGTTTGCTTTCTAGTGTGTTGTTTATTGTGTGGTTGTTTTTTTGGTTTATGTTCATGTTGAGTGCCTTCACACATATA